GGAGCCCTCATCGCTCTCTGCAGCTGCCTGAAAGGAGGCTGGAGCCGGGGGGGGTCGGTCTCTTCTCCCCAGGAACAAGCGATGGGACGAGAGGGAACGGCCTCAAGCTGCGCCAGGGCAGGTTTGGGTTGGGTATTGGGAGAAACTTCTTCACTGCAAGGGCTGTCAGGCCCTGGCCCAGGCTGCCCGGGGCAGGGGCTGAGTCCCCATCCCTGGGGGGATTTAAAGAACGGACAGACGTGGTGCTCGAGGACGTGGTATAGATGGGCTTGGCAGTGATAGGTTGACGGTTGGACTCGATGATCTTAAGGGTCTTTTCCAACCCTGACGATTCTATGATGCTATGATTCTATATAGAAGCGGCTCTGACAGTTCCGCGCTGGTGGGCTAGGGCAAGTGCTGCTGCCGGAGCCAGGGTGGCCACTAACGGCCCGCCCCGTTCCTAGCCCTGTTCTAGCCCAGCTGCTTGCTGCCATCAGGTGGCCAGCTCATTTACCTGCACTCACGTAAATGGGTCCCTCCACTGCTCCCCCGGTTTCCTTTTCCTGCTCCTGCGGGGCTCTCCCTTCCCTCCGTGCGGCACCCTCCGGGGCTGCCCGCCTTGTCAGGACGGCGCCAGCACCTCGCCGGGAGGCAGAGCCGCCCTGCCCGCCGCGCCCCTGGGTCTGGGCGGCTGGAAGAGCCCGCTCCCCGGGTGGATGCCAAAGAAGAACTGGGCAAGCTCCGCTGCGGGTAGGAGACCCCACGAGGGGGGCTGAGGGATTGTAGGAACAGGGCAGGGCTGGAGGGCAGGGGAGCAGGCAGCAGCCCGCCCTTGCCCTTGCCCTTGCCCTTGCCCTTGCCCTTGCCCTTGCCCTTGCCCTTGCCCTTGCCCCAGGACACGGCCCAGCCTGCACCCCAAGAAGCGAGCCGGCGGCTCCAGCCCCGGCCAGACCCTCTGCGTGGAAACAAGAACCCCTGCCAGCAGAACACTCTGACGGTTTTGCGAGCGCAGGAGCGGTCAGACGGTTAACGTTGCGTTGCAGAAGGAAGCGGGAGTTGGGACAGCCACAGCACTGGGGACGGGACTAACCGGGAAGCACAGCAGGCTGGCAAGGAGCACTTGTCCCCGAGTAATTCAAGGGAGTGCACGTAGAGTTAAGCCAGTTCCTTTAATTGGCATTCTTTGGTTACGTTTGCCAAAAGATACAGAATTTTTAGCATCAAATGTTGCTACAATACTTCTACAGTTTGCAAATGTACATAGCAAACACTCTCCTGTCACAGCTGAAATGACTCTTTTCTTTATTCTCCCCCCCCCCATATTTCCTTGGAAAGAGAAAGCAGCATTCTGTGCTTTTCTTCCCCTCCGACCGAGCGAAGGCCTGCCCCCTCCAACACAGGCAGGGCCCGGTCTCGCAAGCCCCACGCACATCCACTGACGGTGGCGCGGCAGCGACGGCGCTGGGGACGCGTCCTCCCAGCTGTGCGGGTCACCTCGGTGCCGGGGTCACCTCGGCACCGGGGTCACCTCAGCGCTGGGGTCACCTCAGCTCCGGGGTCACCTCAGCGCTGGGGTCACCTCAGCGCCGGGGTCACCTCAGCACCTGGGGTCACCTCAGCACCTGGGGTCACCTCAGCGCCGGGGTCACCTCAGC